TTGAAAATAAATTTTAAAATAAAATAGAAAAATATGCGCAAAGCTAGAGAGAATAAGAAGATTTAAATCTCAGATGTGAGAGTTATGTCTCTAGCTTACCCTGAGAGGGTATTTATAGCTTCAAAATCCTAAAAAACAAGCTAAAGATAATTTCTAAAATAAAGAAATAAATCCTAATTAAAACACTTAAAACTATTTAAACTAAAATACCTAAAAGAAGGATAAGATAAAATAATATCCTAAATCCTAATTAAAACACTTAAAGCTATTTAAACTAAACTACCTAAAACAAAGATAAATTATAATATTTAAAATAATATCCCAAAACATGAGTTTATTTTAAATCCGGATTGTAGAAACGTGCGGCTGATCCATTCGTTATTCTAGAAGAGCTGACTGGACCTTCTAGAAGGTGCTGACGTCATCGCCTCGTCAAATGTTTCATTACCAAAGTCATGCCCACTAATCTAGCTTTGATTTAGAAAATAAATAAAAAATTGTAGAATTCTGTCCTTTTAGTGCAATTTCCAAAACTAGCGTCTGTACAGAAAATGAATCAATACGAACAAATAAGCCACAAAAATTAATGATTAATGAGTAATTTAAAAGTAAAATATTAACCAAATTAAGCACTTATCAGAGCAATTAGAGTACTGGTACCCAGTAATGAACCCGAGTCAAGTATCGACTAACTAATGAGTGTTATAGACAATGAATACTAAACACAACAATCATCGTAAAATCCAAAAACATGTAGACACTTCTCTAAAGAAGAGAATGACTAAAATGTCCTTAAGTAATGAATAACCTGAATAGAGATGTTTGATAAACTAGTAGAAGTAACAAACTAATAAACCTTCCATAACGTTCTAGATGAGAACGAGCGAGACAGTATCTAATGAGGTGTTGGCCTCACTTTAGTGTGTGGAGTTACACTAGTGTGTAGTTAGGTTACCTTAGCTGACCTAGGGAGGCATTTTCAGTGCACGAAGCACTTGAGGGGCTAACTAGGGCGCAAGAATCGAACACTCGCAAGGAGTGGTTAACGATGTAAGTATTGTGTGGCTTTTATGCCCTTATATAGCATGTATAGTTACATCATTCTAGTACAACAAATATCCTTAGAGCTTGGATTGACGGTTGTGTGAGACCGAGCCAATGTTTCAGTTGAGCGGGAATTGTACCGATGCTTTGTGACATCTGGTTCCCCCTCCATGGTCTACCTGATTTCTTTGTGAGGACCAGGAGATCATTCAACAGCTTAGTGGGAATTTCAAAGATGCTTTGTGACACCGAGTTCCCTCAGTTAACTAGTGTTTGATGGCTATGTGAGACAAAATACTAGCAATGTTGAATTTAGATAATGCAGATGAATGTCAGTGTTACATTTAGACAAACGTAGCAGTTACATTCATTATGGTTAGAGAATCATTAGTGGTGTGCTCATGGCGAGGCCCTTAGTATAAGACTAAAGGAAGCGTAAGACTCATACTTCAATGTTAAGACAGTTAAACCCAAAGTAGGTATCACTAGATTAAGATCATGCATGTACCTATTACTTAATACCATGTTTTTAGCATACTTATGTTTTTTAGACTCATAATGCTTCTATAGATTATAGATTATACAACTGGGCTTTACAAGCTCATTGTTTGAATGTTTTCCGTTCCCAGATAGTAACTCAAGTCATTTGTAGAGCACCGTCATAGCACGATTTCCAGTATCTCCTTCAGAGTACCGTATTATAGCTTTAGTGGGTATATGTATTCATAGGACATTACTCATGTATTTGGTTTATCAACTCTAAATTTGTACTATTTTAATTTTAAATTATGTATCACGGAGCTCCAGTTTATAAATTGTTTTCAAAACTGTTAATTACATATAATTTTATACCATATTGTATGTTTCAAAAAGAAAATAAATAAGTCTAGGTTCAATGTGGTGGATACCAACTTAGTTATCCAAGTTCAATAAGGTCAAACAAAACCATGAAAAGACTCATAGTGTGCATTTCTACCTACATATTCTTGTGATAATGCATAAGTACAAGATGAACGTTATTGCTCATAATAAATTAATATCCCAAATTTTGGGTGGTCTTACTGAGAAAGAATTGACAAATTTACCGATTTTGATTGAATATTTACTCTTAATAAGGTCATAACCTAGTGTTGAGTGTGTAGTCCTATTGCAAAGAATTAAATTCCAAGAGTTTGGGTATATGAGAATGACTTACTGAATTTACCGATTAAAGAAATTGAGTATTTATTCGTAATGATTTGTTATTTTAGAGTTTGGGTGGTCCATTTAATATGAACTTGAAGAAATTCAACTTATATTTTGTAAGGTTGCTTTGTTTTAAAAGCTCTTAATTATTTCATAGATTTGATTCGGTTGGTTTATGTTGAGATAAACCTGATGAACTAACATACATAAGTGAGAATGATTAGCCACCTTTTATGAAAAATGTTAGGTCATTTTCTAGTTCACTTACTAGAATCATAAGAAAAAGGGGTTATATATACTTTTTAGACACATCGCAAACTTCCATGGATAAAGGGGTTAGTTGTGTTATGAGTCACCCAAATCTTAGAAAGTTCAGGATTCATTCATTTATCCAAGATAATTACTCATTATCACTATTTACTAGTTCAAGATGTTCACTAATGCTTTATCAACTAATCTTGCTATTACTCTTCTCGTGTTTTAACTTCAATGCTCTTATTTTTTATGAAAGAATTATTTTGCATTAGTGGGAAAATTTTGTTATTGCTCAAAATATAACTCATTTCAAAATGTTATTTAACTCTATTATAATTAGTATTAAATTGTGCTTTAAAGATGACGTTTTTGTCCTCACTATGTAACCTATAAATAGTATGTAATTTTATTCTGTTGAGATATTCCTCAACAAATGTTTACTTTAAAAACACTCTTTAGATTTCATAAAATATTCTTGAGTGTTGTTTTGAGTTGAGGGAAGAGAAGTACCACCAAAGTCCACCCCATCTTTCGAGTGTATGAAATTTGGAAAGCTATGCTAATCTCGGAGAATCATTCGTCCATAGTGATGACTACACACGTCAGGACGAATTTACTTCTAAGGTAATGATTAATACTATGACGCAATTATCATTATGTTTGGGTATTTTATGCTAATGTCTCGTTTTACAACAATCTATTTTCCAACATTAAACACACTAAAAATCTTCTTTCCGGATTTTAATTGATAAATGCCTACCTACAACCATGGGATTTGCGGCCCTCCAGTTGCGAGAGGCAGACATTCGTTACTTCCATACCATAACCAAAGGTCATCCAATAGCTTCAACGCAAAATGTGATGTTTTAACGATGTCGGAACTCTAGATCCGGTCAACGTACCGTCAGCTCTGTTTGAGCCAAGATCAAGCGTAGAAATTTCATTACATACGGATACCATTTTGGGTAAATAAACTTATGATATGCAGTGGAAGAATATAAATTTTGTCATTCTTGAGCTCAAGTTAAAAAAATTGATGTTGCTTAAGTTGAACGTACTGGAATATGATAGTGATTTGAGATTCTAGGATTAGATTTTATCATATCACAGTCAACAGGTTAATGTTCAACTCAAACTACCGTTCATTTTTTAATGAAAAAGGATAAGTTTGAAATATAATGAATAGTCGGGTGATCATTTTGTAACTTTTAATAGTCGAAAACTTAATAAATCAACATTCTATAGTCAGAGGATCGTATTATAACTTTTAATAGTTGAGAGACTTAATAAAATAGTATTTTTTCATCAGTGACCATTTGAATACTTTACCGAAAATAATAATGCTCTTAAATAATATTAATTTATTACAAAATGGGTTGTATTTAAGCAACTTGTATATGAGCGCCGCAATTAGATTAAATTGGAACTCTCCCGCATTAAAATAATTTCTTAAACTTAATTTTTGTTAACTTAAAAATAATAAATCTTAACTTAAAAAATCCATTAAAATATAATTTTTTAAATTTTATTAAATATATTTATCATATTCTTTATATTTACAATGTCGTCATTTACATATAAATTATTACATTAACATCACGTCATCATTCACTTATAAATTATAATGTTCGCATCATATATTGTAGTACCATAAATCATTAATATCATAAATTATTATATTTACATTATAAACAATCATATCAATATTATGAACTGTTATTTTAGTATTATAACATTCAATAACAATTTTTTTTATTAAATTGATTAATTTTTCAAATTTAAAATTTCAATTGAATGAAAAAGATGTCTGAAACTGATTAAATTGTTTTCGAATTGCTGCACCCTTAAGTTTTATATTGCCTGTTGTTTATAATTTATAACAGTGAAGTCTCCCTTTAAGCTTTATATTGCCTGTCGTTTAGAATTTATAACAGTGAAGTCTCCCTTTAAGCTTTATATTGCCTGTCGTTTAGAATTTATAACAGTGAAGTCTCCCTTTAAGCTTTATATTGCCTGTCGTTTAGAATTTATAACAGTGAAGTCTCCCTTTGCTGCTGCTTATATTGTGAAGTCCCACGACAGTAAATATTATCAATAAGATCTCCCTGTCTTTAGATTTAGGTTGCTTAGCAGACTAACATTTGCTGTTTAACATGCAAATTACAAGCAGATCAAGGAGCTTAGAGTCAAGGATGAACCTAGGCGGGACGGGTGAATGCCTCTTCTAAAATTTTAAAATTACTAAATTTTTAAATTTTTTCTATATATTTTCTATTGAAAATATGTTTTCGTCTCTAAAATTTTATAAGTTCAAATTCACCTCTAAAATTTATAAATTCAAATTCACACATTAATATAAAATCTTACGTACGTTCCTAATATAACATCTTACGTACGTTCCTTCTTACAGTAGCACTCGGTCACTATCTCCTCTGCCTGCTTGAGCATACTTAAAAGACGCACTAAACAAACCCCAAGTTAGTCCACAGCCTGTCTTCTAGTATAACTATACTAGATTTCGGCTCGAGCTCAAACTCTCTGGGTTCCTATTTTTACTAACCAAAACGGACAACATCCTAATCTTCACAAAAACTGGTTTATTTACAGGGAAATACCAATCATACAGACTTCACTTTGTAAATGTATAGCCTCATAATCATTGTTTCTCAATAGCAGCAATAAACTATATATAACAAACTAATTACAAATTAAAGGCAACTATACTCCGTCAAAATCTGGTGTCGACCATCTATGCCGGTAACATCTTTTGTGGGAAGCCTTTGGATCTCAAGGGAGCAGACAGTAATAGCAAATTTAGATGAACGGACTCAGAGAAGTCGCCTTTTGAATTTTCTAGTTGCTGTTTGGTAAGTACGAACCAGCAAGCCAACTCCTATACCAACGCCAAGACTAACGCCAAGACCGATTCCTACACCGACCCTTACACCTGAATTATACCACGAGAGTTCGCCATCTTCACCATCTATGCACTCTGTCCCCCTCCAGTAAATGTTTCTATAGTCTTCAAAGTTTTCGTGTTTGTAGCTTCTGTACTCTGCTGCCTACAGATGGGAAGGAGCATATCGAGTTAGAGATGAGCAGAGGAACATCTGGTTCTATAATTGTAATTGTAAGGATCACCATATATATGATAAAGCATAAAAATCTTGCAAGTATGGACCAAAGACATAGACATACATGTTTCAAGACAGGAAGCATAGTTGGCAGCCAGGAAAACTAACATAAAACTAAAAGTCACCGAATTTCAGACTACAGCGCTTTCATTGAAGCCTATGAATGTTCTTCCTTAAATATACAGAACATCTGCTGCTAAAATGTAAGATTAAAATGCAGAATCAAAGCATTGCTCGAACATAGTATACCTCTAAATCAATAAACTAAAGTGAACATAAAAGAAATGAAATTTCAATACTGAATTTTCAGGCCCGGTTACCTGCATATCGGGTCCAGACAGAGGTGGCATATCTTTTAGGCAATCAGTGCTCTCATATTCTGGGATTGCATCTAACATGCCCTTCCTATTATGCTTCTTTCTGTGATTGAGTTGCAATGTTTTGGTCAAAATGATTGGTTTTCCAGAGAAGCAACCTGTAACATAAACCTCAATCGTTGGTGATGATAATTCGGGAGAAGAACCGTGCTTATCCTTGAGGAAACAACAGCCAGAAGTGATCTCCGATTTACAATTCATACTCCATCGTTTTACGTGATTTTTCGATTCTCCAATGAAGCTATTACTACCAGACATTTCCAATATACCACAGAGAATGAGATCCTTTCTATCGACAACACTGAATTTCACACTCCCTGTTAACCTAACACTATCTGTACTAACAAAGGTGGCTTCTTTTGATTTCTTGTCTACCCTATCCCTTCTAAGAAGTAAAGAGACCCCATCAGAGTATATGTTGTTTCGAGTACCATTAACTTCCAAAAGGGTGTCAGGGTCTAACGGGGTGTGATTGAGAGTTAGATATTCAGGAGTGGAATCATCAACTCGAAAATTGCTGAGTCTAACATAAAACACTCTCAAATCAAACCAGAGTGATGATAATCCAAACCGGGGCTGGAATGGAGAGTACCTAATAATCTGAAGGTGGCGATCTGCTACGTCACCATTTCCTGGTGTATCACATGGACCCTCCATTTAAGAGCTTAATCCTCACTGAAACCCTCTAACATCACAACGCCACAAAATATCAACAGAATTGCCTGTGAAAACACGTTACAGTATCAGAAAAATGTTCAGTTTTTTCTTCAAAATAATCATAGAAATGATTTTCTAGTACTTGTCAGAAATTCAAAAAGAATCATAAAACAATTAAGAAAACCTAGTGGGAATTTTAAAACAAAGATCAATAGATCATTATCTGGAAATTGAAATAGAAGTACCCACCAGCAGAAGCGAAAACCCAAGGCTCGAAATTTCCCTATCTGACTATCTCCATGCTTTGGAATCAAAGCAATCAAGATAATCAAATTGCAGCATTTGCTCACTCTTGAGCAAATTTGGAGATAAAAATTAAGTTTTTTTAAGAAGAAGCTGGCAATTGGCAAATAAACACACACGTGTCACAGCCTACTTAATCATGTAAATAGCATCAATTTTCTCTAGAAACAATTAGCACCAGAAACGCCAATAAGAAGGAAAAAAATGGAATTTCCCATTTTCTTGAAAAAGGTAATCTTACCAGCCAACCACAAAGATACCAACTTGTGTAAAAATTATATGTTGTCTTCCATCGTAAAAGCCAAATAATCCAATTCTTCTAGATGGTAACCACCCAAATGGCTCTGAGATTAAAGCTTTTGATTTTCTAAATCCTCAAAGGTTCATACACGTATGGAGCTAAAGGGGCAATTTTTCTCTTTGATTTTCTTGGTAGTTTAATTCTAGGGTGATGGGGTTCTTCGTATGCTATCTCCTCCAAAATGGGTTATGCCAAAAGTATAAATCTGGGTGAGTTATGGGACCTTTTTTGATGATTCTTTTTAATGGTTGATGGAGTCCGGATATTCCAAGGAAGACGAGCTGTCTTTGCATTGTTACAATATATACGTATGAGACTGAAGATCTTATCCGATTAAGCAGTGAGTTTGCAATTACGAGGCTGTTGTCATTTTGAGAAGGATGTCTTTGCCCCTGCCTTAAGGAGCAACCAATCTTCTTCCCACACATGCCTCTTGCTTGTTGTGGAATGTACAATTTATGTATCATACATGAATATAAAATTTTATGTTAAAAATAATTATAAAGTTTAGAAAAAAAATTAAATTTCCAAAATTAGAAGAGAATAGAAATATATTATTATGTAATAAATATAAAAGTATTTAAAATATATAAAAAATTTAAATTTCTAAGAAAACGATTATTCCACTTGTATCTTTCGATCTATGTCTATATCATTCAATTTGATTAAACTAGTCATCAATAAAAATAGATACATAATTTTATATTAAAAAACAATTCTAAAATATTAAGAATAAACAAAGTTGTAAAAATTTTAAAAATAAAAAATATAATAAATATTTAATGGATTGGTCATTAAACTCATTTGTTTAAGTAAAACCTTCTGGTTATTATTTAATAAAAACAGAAATCCATGGAATTTGGCGCGTATACGAAAGTCGTCTTTTACGTTGCCTAGAATATGCCTATGGTTATCCTTTCAAAAATCAGATTAAATTTTTCACTACAATAATTATTTAAAATTGTAATAAAATAATATTGAATTAATATATAGTGGATTAATTTAACTTTTAAGTAAATTAAGTTATAATTAATATTAAACCATTATTATATTATTATGCAAAACAAAAATATCATTTTCAAAATCTAAAATTATGTTTTATTATTTTTAAACATCATATTAGATTCAATTTTATAATTTTTATTAAGTATTTTACACATAAAAATATTTTTTACAAAATTTATAATTATTATGTTCATTTAGTTGTTAGTATAGTTGTCACACAACCTAATATCATATGATTAGAAAAAGTCGTACACTTTGAATTTATAATTTCTCAGTTAAATCATATATGAATTGATATTTCTAAGTTTTAGACTTTTAGAAAAAAAAAATTATTCTCTAATTTGACTAGTCAAATAAGTGTTTCGATATTTCTTCAACTTTTAATTATCCAAAAATTAGTCGCGAATATTTTACAATATTATGTAGTATATAATTTTGTCCATGTTTTATGAGGTTAAGCATTGAAATAAAGTTCAAAAATCTCAACAACGACAAAATACGTTTATACTAATTTTGTTTAAATATTTTTTACTTTGGGAAGGTAGAAAGAGAATTTCTTTTTAATATTGAATCTTGATGTGAAGGTCATGTGCTACTTTTAAAAAAGAGTCCCTAAAATATTTTATACCAATAGAGGTTGGTTCAAGTGATAACCAGCTTAATATCGCTTATGCAATGTTTCGAGATCCAGTTCTTGTGTATGAAGAAAATATCTACTGTGAGACTTACCCACTAACGCCAGGTGTACGAATCGTGTCGGTCTAGATTAGTCAAGGTGAAACCTTGAAACCGAAAGAACAACAAAAAATATGTATTATTATAATAAAGATTAATTTGTCAAAATTAAAATTATGAGGGGTCTATGAGGTTTCATTCACTAAAATTCATCATGAAAATGATTGAAGATATTGTCAAAATATTTGCTTACAGCTTTCTCTGTCATTTTCTCGAAAGTCAAATGGAAAGCTTATGTTCCCTTCGAACCTAAATATCGTTAGTGCATAAATATTATACATGGACATACCTATATGATATTCATGTGTGTGGCCTCTAAGTTTTGAGGCCCAATGATTGAATTCATAACATAAGAGAAAATGAATATATCAACTGAGAACTTTTAACCATATACTCTAAAAATTTTGTTAACATGTTTGTACTAATTAAATGTATGCTTTCTAATAAAAATCTTATTGCATGATTTATTGTTGAGAAAAATATTATCCAGTTATATGTTGTATTTTTTTAATTTTATATAGATCTAGGATTGGTAGATGAATAGAAATAGACGACAAAGATTAATAGTAGAAAATGAAAAATATTCACTAAAAGAAAAACAAAAAGTTAATCTCAACCTTATATTTCCGCTCATCCAACAATTCTAAATTTGTATAAAACTAAAAGAAATTTATATTATGTAAGTGGATCATATTCATATATATATATTTGAAGTATGTTTTGGTATTTTTATATATATGCTATTGAATCATGTTTTGATATATATGTTATTGAATAAATTTTTTCACCATTCGAATTGTCACCTATTTAAAGGGAATGTTTATTCAATTAAAATATTAAAATTAATTAAGAAATGTTATTCAGTCAGGTGTTACATGTGTCACTAATGAAATATGTTATAATAATTTGTTCACATGTGACACCACAGATTGAAAGATTAATGATTTTGAAGTAAATCAAAATTAAGAATAAATTAATAGAATATGTAAGTAATAATGTAATACCCCAATTATCATGTAAGTGACTTTATTGAAAATATTTAAAAAGTGATGATTTATTTGATTAAATGGTAAAAGATTAAGGAAATGATTTGGAATAGTGTTAAGGCTAATTTGTGACAATAGATAAATTAAGAGGGTATTTTGGTCTTTTAAGAGGAAAATGAATTAAAATATATCCCTATTAGGGATTTAAAAGGGGAAAAGAGAGAGGAAAGTAAGCTATCTCCCTCTTTTCTCTTCTTCCCCGTGGAAAGGCTCTTCCCCCATAACAAAGGTGAGTTTTGAAATTGTTAGTTGATTCTTTAGATTTTGGTTGGTTATTGAAACCTTGAGCATGATAGAAGCTTAATGAATGTTTAAATGGGATTAAAACAACGAGATAAGGGAAATAAAAGAGAATTTAGAAATGGGTTTTATAATGATATGTTGAAATATGAGGGTTTATGGATGGTTATTGGTAAAATTGACTTGTCAATGAGGTAAATGAAAGATTAGAAGTCTAGAATGAGTTTGAAAACAAGTTGGAAATTTTGGTATGATTATAAGAATCAAATGTATTTGAGAGATACTAGATGTTTTAAGTATCTAAATGAAGGAAAGTTAGTAGAGTTAAGTAGAGAAGTGTTATATAGTATTATTAGGGGTAAAGGAAATGAAAATTGGCCCAAAGTTGGGTAAATTTCGGGTGAAAACTGTAAAATCTGGGTAGGGGTATCGGTACCCTATAGAACAGTATCGATATTATAGGCAAAAATTTGGCTAAATTATATGAGAGGTATCGATACTGATTCAATCAATATCTGTACCCAAACAATGTGGTATCGATACTTGTAAACATCGAATCTAATTTTGGTATTGATACTTAAGGGGGTATCAGTACCATAGCATAGTGGTATCGATACCATGGTGAGAGTATCGATACCATACTACATCGAAGCTAATTTTGGTATTGATACTAGAAGGGGGTATCGATACCATATAGAGTAGTATCGATACCAGGGTAGGGGTATTGATACTGAAAGGCTAGAAATGTTAAGTTGGGCTAATATTGTTGGAGAAAGGTTAATATTAAGTATTTTGATTAATGTTTAAGTTATAATTGTTAGGAAATACACTAACAATTGATATTATGCATGTATGTAATGAATGTGGTATAGATTGAAACCAAGGGTAAAGGCAAAAATACTGGAGCAATCAGCCTTAAGTTTTGGATACATAGCAAGGAGAGTACTTTATTATAAGTATGAGAGATGATGAATATTCAATTTAGTTTGTTTAAAGTATATATATATATATATGTGTGTGTGTATGTGTGTGTGTGTGTGTGTGTGTGAGAGAGAGAGAGTGTGTGTGTGTGTGTGTGTGTGAGTGTGTGTGTGTGTTATAATATTGATTATGATATCTTATAAATATAAAAAGAAAATTATGAATAAGTTTTAGAGTATGAACTGCTCTAAATCAATTTCATAATTGAAAATGCATGAAAGGATGCATAAAGGCATGAACGGATGCCATAATTGAAAATGCATGAAATGATGCATAAAGGCATAAACGGATGTCATAATTAAAAATGCATGAAAGGATGCATAAAGGCATGAGCGGATTCCATAATTGAAAATGCATGAAAGGATGCATTAGTGGCATGAAATGATGCCTTAACTGATATGTATATGGGTACATTATCAGTATAACAGAATAATGCATATGGGTGCGTTATTGGCATGAAAGTATGCCAAAGTTGAAATGTATATGGGTACATGATCAACTTAAAAGTATACTATAGTTGAAATGCATATGGGTGCATTATAAACAGAAAAGTTGTTAGAGTTTAAAATGCATAATGATGTATTATAAACATAAATGGAGGTTACAAACGAAAAGAAAGAATCCTGGCAACAATTTCAATATATTAAGTGCATGAGTTTTCGTTTAAGAAATATATGTGTATAAACATAAGAATTTCATAATAAGAAAAATGGATCTTTATATTGGTAATGGGTATATCAACCACATAGATTATAGAATAGTTGAGAAATAACGGTATAAGCACTACATGTGCATCTTAATAAATGAACAAAAATAAGAAGCTGGTAATTTACCATGTGAGCACTAAGGGTGCGAATGTATAAGGTTTATAATAAATTAAAATAGAGTTAATTGATATTAAAAGTAAGTATTAGAATAGAAACTATTCCAAATAAAAGATGAAATTGCCTAACTGTAATTAACAGAAATGTGTCAGTTATGCCAGATAGATGAACGGTTAAGTAACATTGAGTAAAAGAATAATGGTCTAATTGTGCAATTGGCAGAGACGTGTCAATTATGCCAGTCATAGGAAGGGTT